CTGTCCGTGCTCAAGGAGAAGAAACGGAAACGGAGACCGAAACAGATCGTGGCAGTGATTGGGGATACGGATATCGAGGGATGACTACAGCTCGGCCATCTCATGCGTCCTTCCCCTTCCCAAGAATGAACAATTCTCCTTTGTCATCAAGCAACTCTGTTTGGCCTCCGTCGCCAGCCGTCGGAGCCTCGGAATACCAGAATGGCGCGATAAAGTTGGAGCTGGATATGACTGGCTATCCAGTTCCAAACCCCGCTTCCATACCGCCTGTGCCGGGAACCAACATTCTTCTCGAGTCCATCTCGCTGTCTTCATCTGTCCCCGAAGACAAGCTGCACCTACAGGGTGCCTTCATTGTACGCAACTTGGCTTTTCACAAGGATGTTGCCGTACGCTTCACGGCCGACGACTGGAGCACAGTTAGTGAAATCAAGGCTAGCTGGACTGCCAACTTCCCTTCACCATTTTTAGCTCAGCGTTCGTCGATAAAAGATACGGATTCATGGGATCGGTTCACGTTTAGCCTCAATTTGTCCGACTACACTCTGGCCTCCCTTCCTTCCAAAGTTATTTACTTCGTTGGAAGGTACAATACACCTGGAGGGGAGTATTGGGACAATTGTGGAGGACGGAACTGGCGGGTCAAATTCAAGCTCGTCAAGGTGGATCAAGATATTCAGCAGCCAGTTGATCTTCCTGCCGGTAAGTTCACTAAGTCTAATATATATCCACATTCCTTATATCAGTTTTAGTATCGACCTCGAAGCCGGTAGTGCTGCCAAATGTCGTAGTATCTTCTCCGACCATTTCTCCTCCCGCGATTTCGAAGCCGGAGGTCACGTCTGCATCTTCAACTCTACCAGCCTCGTCAACAACAAGTTTAACTACATCATCAGCTGCCCCTGCTTCCATTGTTGCTCCACCTTCTCCCGCACGAACAGAAGCGGTTGCCCAGGCTACTGCTAACAGATTGAGGAGATTCAGTCTATCAAATTACGTTGCTCCTGGTGCCTCTCCAACATCCTCGACTCCAGCTCAGGCCGAGGGGAAAGAGACAATTGATACCGCACAGAAATCGTCTCCGCCGCTGGATACGCAGTTAAACAAGGGACAACCTCGGGAACGGCTCTCGATAGTCACTACGCCATCCAGTCCAAAAAATACCTCCACCATATCACCTCCCAACTCTAAACCTTCATCGCCTCCAAGCTCATCCTCGTTGAACATTCCTACCCCTCCCGCGGAAGCAAACTCGGACTCTTTGTATAACTGGTTTGTTCAGCAGTGGTGCTTCGCTGAAATGCCTTCGTCTGGGCTTCCCGGTCAGAGCTGGAAAGAAAGGGGTGACCATCCTCCTGATATTACCAAGGGCAATCTCGGTTTGGAGATTGGAGGTTGAGTTTACATATTGAATTGGGCTAGGTGTGGGACATCTGCATATTTTACTTCTTTCAATAAGCCTTACGCCACCTTCCACGACCATTCAAGATTCTCACAAAAAAAAGGTACCTTTCCACTTCATAAAGTTGGACCGTGTATCATTGCTCTATCTATCCACTACGTATTCGTATCTATGCGGACATATTCTTCAACCTTTGTATTTTTTTCGGCAGTATATTCTGTGTTGTTGTAACCTCATTCTCAATAGATATACTTAGATATTTCGTCTATGAGTGTGTCATTTGGCACATTTTGGTCGTAATCCACTATACCCGTCTACATATCCACTCGTGTAGCGATTACTTTTTCTTGAGTTCATTAGGGCTTTCTCTTTCTGTAAACGAAAAAATACTAATTCTTAGATGTGTAGATGACCAGGGGAATATACATTCTGTTGTTGAACAAGTTTTCGGATTGTACAGACAGTTTGTGGAAAGGACGAAAGGGCTGAATATAAAGAAAATCGAAGGAAATAGATAATGAATATATACAGTGCAGTTCGTCAAGCATGTCCCGAATGATATCAGTCTAAGGATCTAAGGACACAACAGTCAAAGGAAAGAGGGAAAAAAACAGCCAGGCGACCAATTTTGTAACAGTGAACATGACCTCTTGACTTTCCAAATCGCCAGAACAGCTTTGTTTCATTTCGTATCGTCCTGAGACTCGGTTTCTTCATTGGAAGAAAGTTTCGCCCCGTTGCCAGCCTCAACGTCGTCCGTGATAATGGTGGTGACAGTAACCTATAATTGAGCCTATCAGTAACGTGACGAGACACGCTTCCAAGTCAGCGTACCTGAAGGGCGTGCTCTGAAGGGTGGCGTTCGGTACGGAACAACCCTGTCATGGACCTGAACAAGGAAGGCTTGTGAGTCGAATGCATTTCAATGTCCTCGAAACGCGATTCTCTGGGTGATGACGAGAACGCAAGATTGTACTTGGGCTTGCGAATCGCCGGAGAGGTTGGACCCGAACCGATAATGCTGGGTGTCTGGCGAGACGCATCGACGTTGAATGTAGGAGTTTGCCAGGGCGTAGGGGGTGGTGAGCTGATCACGAGATCGTTACCGGTGTCGCCATGGAGTTTGGCCTCTGGTGCACGTCTGCTTTCACGTGCGGGGTTATTGATTACTTGTCCGATCGAGCTGGGGTAGTTATAACTCTGACCCCTGCGCTTCGTCACCCAGAAGACGGCAAGAGCATTGAATATGACCTGTGGATTTCATGGGTACAGCTGATCACTATCATGCATTGGAGCTTACGTCGGCACCACATGATCCTAAACAGACCCATCCATTTTCATGACCTTTGAGCTGATGAAATTTGAGTGAGCAATGCGGTATTATAGAAACCACCAAACGAAATTTACCAGTGCTAAAACTAACATGTTGACCTGTGAAATGGTTAGGGGTCAATTTAACGCAATTAGAGACTAATGGCGACTTACAGTGGACGTTGTGAGCGCGACGGCGGAAGCTAAAAGAGTGCGAGTGGCCACCGCTTTGAGACGAGGGTTTATGAGGTTGACCCTAAACACCGGCCAGAGGAAAAGGATAGTTAAGACGATGTTGATCAGTCTACGACATTGTCAATCGAAATTCTCGCTCCGATATAGACCCACTGACGGGGCTGAACGTACAAATCATAAGCTACCAAAGCGAGCGAAGAATATTGCTTGAGACCAATGATGCAAACTCCGTCGCCTTCCCGGAAATAGTGAATTCTGCCTATGGTCGAAGTAAGAAAATTTTCTGCGGAAAATGACGAAGTGAAAAACCTGCAAACATCGAGGCAATAATTCCCCCGTATATCGCGATCATTGCTAGACAACTGAGATAAATAGGGGACTTGAATCTCTGAGGGCTGGTCGTTGAGGGGCTCCAAACGAGATAGACTTTTTCGACTGAGGATAAAGAAATAACTGTTAGTACTGATCTTGATCATAAGATAGCATACTTACCCAGAAAAGAGTAAATCAAAAGCTTCGAAGTCGCATAGAACACCACACACAAGTAGATAGCCAGCGCGCAGACTAGGTCCTTACTCTCCAGACCGATGCCGAATGTGAGCATACCACCTATATCAATTTCAATATACCGTTGTTCAGGTAATTCGCCAGAAAACGCTCACTAGCGAAGAGAAACATCCACGAGTCAATAAAAATAAGTAGGATACAGACTCGAGCCCAGGTCATGTCCCTAAGTGAGCTCCAGGAATTCCATTCTTCCGCAGCCAATCGCCGCGAAAGGCAATGCGTAAGAATCGATATTCCTAAGGAAACGCTTGAATCTCAGCAGGCGCAAATAACTGGGAATGACTTACCCAAAATGTGGATCAAAAAGCTCAGGGCCTGCATCCCTTCAGAGGGGAACACCATAGACGCCATGACGGAAGTGCCAATGAGTGTAGGGAGAAAGGGGAAAGCGATTCTACCGACTCTGAGCTCCCATTATTTTATAATCTTTTTGGAACTTCATATGGACGAAATATCAAATGCGATGATCTACTCACATCGGCCGTCGGAACTTTAACGGAAAGGAGGTGATCACACATTGCACAAAAATCTCATCCAGAGTCCTTCATTATAATTCATGGAGGATACGATGATTATCGTTCAAAGGCTCATTTTCTGGTAGAGCCAGTGAAGAAGCGGAGAAAATGACGGACACACCGTGTACCGACTTTATTCATTTTGGATATATTAGTGAGCCGACAGGCACAGTCCGCTAAGGGATCGGCAGGAGTTCCTGGAGACTCCTTTTCAGCTTGATGACCCTTTCGTAGTTATGGAGAGCTGACTTTTGTTTGGCTAACTATGACAGCAGAGCTAACACAGGCACAGAGGAGTAACTGACGGTACTCAGCTGACGGTCACAAAATTCCCAGTGAACCGAAAACACTTGGATAGGTGAAAGTACTAGTCCCACTGAGTTTTAAAACCTTTGCACCACGGTAAAGGGCCGTACCAGTGGCATCACGCCTTTTAGGTTTCGACCTCTAATTCTCATGTCCTAGTACCGAATGGTAAGTATTCAAGTTACCTGGCTCGCAGTCAAGCGTTCAAACTTCACAGCTCTTGTTAAATATTGCTTCGGTACAGATCCGAGGCCTTTGAGTCGCTTTATGAGGACGATTTTCGGACCCATGTAGCCTGACCATGTGTTCCGTATTCATACTAGTTGTTTTCGTGTTTTCGAATACTGCCCCCGTCCATACGTGTACATGTTTACTTCCCTTCGCCTTCTTCGTTTCTGCTTTGATTTCTGTTTGCCGCCATGGAAGAACTCTCTCTGACCATGGGTGTTTTCGCTTTGGGTTGCCTGGGACTTGGGTTCCTCATACTGAATTCGTGCATTGTGGCATGATCTTTGCGGAAGAACTCCTTCTCCTTCTTTTTCCTTCGATTTTCCCTTTGATTTTCGCTTTGATTTCTAGATGCGATAGAATGTCTAGAGCGCGCTACCGCCGGGAGATAACACAAGATAACTACAGTCTAGAAAGACCTAGGAGGATCTGGCTGCTGTTAGTACCGCACGGTTATCAAAAAGATAGAACACTGACGACGCCAGCAGGATTTGAACCTGCGCCCTCAAAGAGGAACAGATAAACGAACCGATTCGAATCTGTCGCCGTAACCACTTGGCTATAGCGCCGCTCAATTTCGAGCCACCTTTCCTAGTGATACTGTGAATGAGGAACGACTCTGGTCATCTCTCCTCATTCCATAAAGTCTGGAGGCATATAGGACCAAGAAAGCCCCCTACGTTCTGTAGGCATCCAACTTGAATTTAGATGCAAGGTAGAGGTAGCAGCTCATAAAACCTTGAGATCTGAGATTTCGCTTTTCTCCCTCACTTTTGATCGGCAATTCTAGGGTGATGCGGAGTTCAGGAGAATCCAGGGCGTTGGCCTTGGAAGGCCTTGGACTCGCTTCGGACAACCAGAATAGAACCGACGCTGGAAAGCTGAAAGTAAGGGCAATGGACCCAAACAGAATTTATCGGAATGAATGGTATTATTGGTGCGGTCCCTATGAGGCCTCCTTACCCTCCATGTTGCTTCTTTGCGCCGCGCACATATCCACAGCATATTGCGGAGCGGAATCCGCATTTCACGGATTGATGCTTTGACGATGACGAAAGCTGCGGTTTTTGACGAGAACCTACTAGAACTTACTAGAACTTACTCTGGTACTTTCAAGTTAATCAATCTATCATATGGAACGTGCGTACGTTCATCCTTCAGATTGATTTTCTTCACCATCTCTCGTTAGCGATGTCAGTGCCTGTTCATTTTTTCTTACGGCCTCTTACGGCTCCGATAAGCTTATCACTGTCGAACACTGTCCAAGTATTCGCTTCGCCTAAACATTTGTGCTATCTTTATACATACGGAGTTATACTGCAGCCTACTACAGCCCACAGCAGTCCACAAATCACATTTACCGACGTTATCACTTCCTTCCTTGCGAAGGGAAATTCCCTCACCCTCTATCCATCAAGTACCATAAAGCACGGAATGTTGACACGTTCTTCGACTTATGATACTCATGATTAGGCAACTTTTCATTTCCGAAACCCGATTTGAACTTGGCTCCTTCAACGAAAAACTATCTGTTGCTGAGTATCATACAGCTGTCTGCTGTTGTTTATATGTAATCTGACGATTGTGGACAGCTTGATTCCATTGTGCCATAACTTAGCTCAACGCTGGTGATGAGCTTGTAAACAATTCACTCAGAGTCGTTCAAAGGCCGCTCAATAATTATTTATTCGAGCCTGTTCGTGAGTTTTTGTTCTTGGAAGCTTTTCTGGTGTGCGATTTCCAAAACGAGAAGAATAAATGTCATTCAGTATATGAGAAATCTATCAATAGCGATGCCATATGTACTGGATAAGAGCGAGAAAAATCAAAGAATGAATACCTGATTCGTTCTCCAGAATTGAGTTTGAAGGGCAGCACCGGACGTGTGAAAGAAATTGAGCTGGCATCTTGTACGGATGGCAAAAAATTCGCTCAATTGAATGCATAAGTTTGCATGTGCTGTCTTTGCACTCGGAGGGGAACCCGGGCTATGCGAAGAGAAGAGTACATAGTCGCGCGGTACTGAAAGCGTATTCAAGAGCTCGCCTGCCATAAAAGTCCTTCTGACAGGGGCTTAATTTATGACGCGTTTATGACGATACTCAAGGACGCGTTTTCCCACCAAATTTACTCAGCTTTGTTTTCTTTCCCCATTTGCCAAGCTGATTCATTCATTTCGAGGCTCATGGCAGAGAAAATTTCTTGCTATTGCTAACGTCTTTTATTTTCTTTTCACGACTTTTCGTAACTTGCTTGAGCAAAAGGCATTCAGCAGTTGCGCGTTACGAGCTTATATCAGTGAGTTCTATGTTCAATATTCAAAAAGGTTACATTTTCATTGAGCCACTAAGTACAGCAGTTTTTTTAGTATTCTAGAGCTAAATATTAGGTTATCTTCGTCGGTCCGAAGTTCAAATCCATCCCAAGTTCCCTCGGTAACGGCAAATAACGATTGAACATCTATACGAACAACATTCAGGAATTTGGAAGAAGTCAAGTTCTGATTAGACGTGGTAGCCGAGTCGTTATCAACACTGCAAAGGGTGAGTGTTCTCGGTAGACTTTTACCAAAGATATCGTGTTCTGTTACCTTCATTATCTATTTACTTATCTTCAGGCTGTTCACCCGCGTTTCTTACCTTTTATCCCCTCTATTACTGTTCTTCACGCTGTCCTGGCCTAGTTTCGTCAGCTCTTGCATTATCCGCTCCTTTTTCTTCATGCAAATCTTTGCAAGTTGCTAATTGGCTGCATTTGCAGTCAACGACAGCTCAACAGCCTTTTAGGGCTCGACTCTCCTCGAGGTAGGTGATGATAAATCTCGACCGAGCAATCCCACATTTTTACGGTCTAGGCATACATCTGAACGAACTGCAAAGATGCCATATTCACAACCGGCATCATCTCCTCGTTCACCTTCACCTTCCCGTCATCATTATTCTCGATCCCCTTCATCGCATTCATATCAGAATCAAAACCATAATCATTCCACGCAGTCACTTGGTCGTCCTGGACACAGACGATCCTATTCCAGTCAAGCTCAGTACGGGTTTGAGTCCAACTCTCCTGCGTCTATTCCTGGTTCTATCGCAAAGTCTTTTTCAACAGGAACAGACTCTGCTAGGTTTAGCAACGAACAGAGCATCAATGGAATCATTGGTACCCGTGGTGCATGGGGAGGTCTTGGATCTCTACCTCGAAGGCATTCTAGTGCTACTACTCCCACTATCAGTACCACGTCCAAATTCCGCATCGGCGACAGACGTGAGAGCAGCAGCAGCGACGATGACGATGAAATTGATGAAATTGACCGTGACTTGCCGCCACTCAAGTTGAAGGTTCAAGTTCTCCCGTCATTCTTCGGAGGCGTCCCATTCCCGAAATCTTCGGCGGATTCGCCAGTGCAAACGGGTCCTATGTACATACCAAATCCAGCGAATGTCTCCATCACCAGGTCATCAGCGCCGACACGTACCTCTTCTTCTCCCGATATCGGTACCCAAGAGCCTACGCGCGCGTCTTCTGCTGTTGGCGCTCGCACGGCTTCGTCAGTCATCCTACTTTCTAATGGACAGCCTTTGCGAAGTTCGTTGAAGGGATCCCGAGTATCTTCTCTCTTGAATTCGCCATTGGCTTCTGCCGCGAACTCTCCGTCCGTATCTCCAGTGTACTCTGTCAGGAACTCTCCAGTCAATTCTACTGTGAACTCAACTGCGACTTCACCAATCATGAGTCCGGAGATTCCAGGGACGTCTGCTCCCTCATTTGCATCTTTTGCGAATCTGGTTCCACCGTCTTTTGGTGGGCATGTCCGAGCACAATCTGCTCCATCTCCTCCGATGACACCTGGTCAAGGCATAGAGGCGGCCCTTGAATCAACCTGGACAGTTCCCATATCGCTTATGTCTGAAGCACCTATGTCTCCAGGTTTATCCGATCCCCCGATGTCTCCTGATGCCCTTCTTTCACCTCGCAGTGTGCACTTCCCCTCGCTCCCAACTGACCTTGAGCGTGTTCGTGTCTTTCGGAAGGAAGCGCGTCCGTCAAGTCTGTTGGTAACTCGTAAAGAACGTGATCAACTGACGTCCAGTTTAAGCCATGGTTCAAACAACCTTTCAACAAATGGCGTTGAGAGCGCAGAAGGCAGCGGAACTGATGTCAAGAGTGGCGGAGAGGAAACCGAGACTGAAACTGAGACCGATAGGGAGTATGGGTATGGCTACAATGCAGGCACTTGGGGTGGTCGAGGCTTATGGGATGCTGCTGCATCGTCAAAGTCGAACAGAGCTTCTTCAGCCAAGGTCTTATCTCCGAATTCAAAAGATCAATCCAGTGCTTTTCCGTTTCCTCGTTTGCCTCGACTCGGTCGAACAAGCAGTGTAGGAAGCAAGGGTGACGATGACGACGAGAGTAGCAGTAGCTCTTCAGGCTCTGGAGGACTCATTCGCATTCGAAATACTGGCACTGGCCCTCGATTTGCAAGAAGGGAAGAGGAGAAAGAGCAGGTAGGATATAGCAGAGCGAGGAAGGTCAAGATAGAACTCGATGTGCCCTCACCAGTATGTCCTGTACCCCGACCTGAATCAGTTCGAGATGCTCTATCTGGTTCGACGAACGTTTTCTTGGAAGACATTCATCTCGAAAATTCTTCTTCCTCGGCCTCTTCGCAAGACGGCACGGAGTCTTTCGCTCTCGAAGGCGCCTTCCTTGTGCGAAACATCGCATTCGAAAAAAATGTTTGTGTCAGGTTTACGACGGATGATTGGTCGACGGTGAACGAAGTACGGGGGAATTGGGTTGGATCCTGTGGGAAATCTCGTCTTATCTCTCTCGCCTCCAAATCTGGCTCTGGACTAGGTATTCCTCGCACATTTGGAGACCTTATCGCTTTCCCTAACTATATAGCGGATGAAAATTCTTCTGAATGGGATCGGTTTGCGTTTAGGATAAACCTTCCTCCTGCTGTGGGGCTTGGAAGGACGGTTGAGTTTGTTGGAAGGTTCGCTGTTGGGAATGCCGGTGGAGAGTGGTGGGATAACTGTGGAGGGAAAAATTGGAAAGTTGGATTTAAGGAAGTGGATATTACTGAACGTGCGTATTTTGGGTGGATCAGATCTTCTACTAATTTACTTCCTATCGTTCGTATGCTGATCAATCGCATTTTCCAGCCTCCATCTCTGCACCTATCCTGCTAAAAAAATCACCCTCGCCGGAACCTGTGCCCTCGAAATCCGACATAATGGGAATACCCGCGATTAGTCCTATCATGCCCGATATACCGGTTTCAACGTTCAATGCCGTTGTTGATGCTCCTCCTGTCTCGCTTCCTGGTAATGCAACGCCGAGTTCTACATCGAGCACCGATCCGCGCATTGCTGCTCCCGTTGAGTTTGGTGTATCCAAAGATCAACCTGGTACCTCCCTCGCGCGCGCCGCATCTTTCACGACTTCATTGTCTCTCCCAGATGAGGAAACAGTGAAAGTACAAGACTTTGGGGAAGAACGGAAAACCTTCGGCTCCTATGAAACAGTGACAGAGGTCAAAGAGCGCGCGCCCAAACCCACTGGT